TGATGATGATGATGATGATGATGATGATGATGATGGTTGGTCACACAGTCAGCCAGATGTTAAGACTGGATTTGGCATTTTTGTCCACCTATTGAGTCCTTCCCAAGGATCTGGAATAGTCAGATGTTGTTGTTTAATAATATTAAAGGTATCATTGCAGGATGTACCCTGTTCCAAGTAACACTGCTTTTTGCAATTGACTGATGGTGATTTTGTCAATGCCCATGGTGTTGTTGTTATTATTATTATTCAGTCTATCAGATAATTCTGACTGGATTTGGTACTTTGGATTATCAAATCCTATTTTTCTAGTTCTTTCTCATTGACACTTCTATCTCTAGCTACTCAATGTCAATTATCCACCTTTGTTTCTTTGTAACTACAGTCATGTCTGGCTTACTGTAAGTTAAATGTTTCTAGTTTCTATTTATAAGTCCCACAGGATCTCAGTCTTTTCATTTTTGACCATTTTTTCAGTATTGTTCAAGATGATGACGATGATGATGATTTGTTACAGACAAAGTCTGAGACACAATATTCAGTCATTCAGGTGATGTGACAAGGGAATCCCTATATATTGGACAAAGTCCAATCATTTGAATACACTTTCTCAGCTTATACAGCCTTTCTCGGGTCTTTGGCTGAATATACAAAGGTTAGGAAAGAAGGAAGTAGTGTATGCAACCACAAATATTCCTGGTTATATATGATTTCATTACATTATTCATTATATTTTTACCAATAGAAGAGAATCTATGTAGCTCAGGGTTGAACTATGCAGTCCTTGGGGTTCTCTGAGCTTGGTTATATTTTTAAACAACCAAATAACAAAAGTTGTCTCAGCGTGGTGAAAGTATATGAAGAAAATAAAATCACTACAGTAGGAATATCTGAACATGAGGTTTTACCATAAAAAAAAAAAATAGAGATGAGACAATCACAAAGACAGCAGTCCAGAACAAAAAAAGTCAAGCCATATGCATAACAGAGTGATGGCTTGGAGGAATCCTGTCTTGGTATAGGGAAGGGAAACCACCCACATACTTGGGAATGTATCTCTTCCTTGCTGATGCAAATTAAATATAATGATAAATGAGTCACAAAAAATCAGGTACTACGGCTGCAGTCCTATGCATACTTACCTCAAAATAAGCCCCGCTGAACTCAAGAATATTTACTTCTGACTAGATATGTTTCTAAGATTAGGTTACAGATCAGGAACTTATCATCTGCAAGTAAGTTCTGTGGGGCTTATTTCTGCCTAGGGTTTTGTCCAAGGTGAATTAGATTCATTTTTTAAGTTTTCATAATGTAGGGATTTATTCCAGCAACGCAGTTGGCAGACTTAACCACATACACAAACAAAAACTGAATAACTTTCCAGTCAAGACTCTCTAACCAATATTCTTCTTATTTTACAGAATCCCCTTCATCTACAGTTGAGTTTAGAACGTTCACTGAGTTTTGACGCTGATGTCACTTTTTCAATCTTGGCCTTGAACAACTGGTATAATTTTAGTTTGATGGTGTGCCAGGAAGAGTGGAACATCACAGATTTTCTCTTCCTTACCCAGCAGAGCTCCAAATTTTATTTGGGATCCATTATAAATATCACAGGAAACCTCACATCAGCCAGTGACCTCTTGACCTATCTGCAAGTTCATCTGGAGAACATTAAGGATACAACATCAACAGTGGTGATGTTTGGATGTGACATGGAAAGCACAAGGAGGGTTTTTGAAATAACTACCCAGTTTGGTGTTATGCCACCTGAACTTCATTGGATTCTTGGGGATTCACACAATGTGGAAGAGTTGAGGACAGAAGGCTTGCCATTGGGTCTTATAGCTCATGGGAAAACAACACAGTCTTTTTTTGAAGATTATGTGCAGGATGCAATGGAGCTGGTAGCTAGATCAGTTGCTTCAGCTACAATCATCCAACCAGAACTGGCATTGATTCCAAGTACAACCAATTGCTTGAACACAGTGGAAAAAAATCTCACATCAGGCCAGTATTTATCAAAGTAAGAGATCTCTCTTCAATAAATGTCATGTAAACACTGAATGTGTCCTACAAAACTCAAGGGCTAAACCAGATTTTTCTAAATGACTTAGGGCAGACAGTCTTGATCAGTCTTCTCCAACCTGAGCACCTTCCAGTTTGATTGATTGATTATGTACCATCAAGTCATTTTCGATTCCTAGTGACCACATAGTTAGATTTTCTCCATCACAATCTATCCCAAACTTGTTCTTTCAAGTCTCCCAATGGTGCACTCATTGCCACTATAACTGAATCCATCCACCTTGCTGCTGGTTGGGTAGACTCTAATTCCAGAATTCCTATATGGCTGGAAAGTCAGGGAGTTTAAACCTATCCTCTGGATGATTCCCAGGTTGGGGAAGCTGATCTAGAAAAGTGGCATGGGGATAGATCTGATTCAGAGAACAGAAACAGCAGGTGTTTAATCCCTATCCAGCCCATTTTTCTCTTCTGGATTCTCCAACTTCAGCTACTGTATATATTTAACTTGTTTAAAGGGAAAAAAACAACCCTTTTCATTAAAAAGTTATTTCATTAAAAATAACTTCAAAGTGAGATTTCCATTTGTTGTCTATTATAGCAAATTTGGACTTAGGAAACTTGGAACAAGGAGGAAAGAGTAGGAAAGAAAATATTGGAGGAAAAGAGAATGGACAGAATTCATATAGCCTTCACTTCTCCATTACAAATCACGTCTTGTAGCTCAGTAGCCATAAGTCCTTGCCACCTATCTAGTCTTGTCCTTATTTTCAGTGAAGTGTAAATTGTTTTCTGAGGTTAAGAAAGAGGATGACAGTTTACTTGTGTTCAGAGGGAGGGAAGACATGCATAGTTCTCTTCCCCATCAAAATGCATTTCAAAATGTACAGGGCAAAAGTCTGTAGGAGAGAACTTTGATCCACAGAAGTTCTGAGTGAGGACCCTGAAAAATCAAGATTTTCAATTGCATGGAAAGGTTCCACAGATAGAGGAAGCTTTCTAATTTGATATTTCATCTCTCTAAATGGAGGACAATTCAAGAAGTGGGACTAGTATGCTAATCACCATTTTCCCTGAACCCAGGTAGAATGCCATCACTTTCCTTAACACCTGAACAGGGCAAATTCCTTTAATCTCAGTGGACAATGAGATAAAACCTACATTATTGACATCATAAAGCAGCTGTTGGCAATGACTTTAGCAGTGGATTTATGCCCAGCTCAAGAACAACTTGTACTTGTTCTGATTTTATCAGTGAACCCTGAAAAGGGAAAGGTCTAGCCAAACCTGAGGCCATCTCAATACCTTGGCCATCAATGTCCTTCAGACTCCAGTCTTTGCTAAGAAAGTTACAGTTCACCAGGAGTAGAGGACAGCAGATTTGGGAAGGCTGATTATTATCATTAGGGCACTGCTGGTTCTTAAGATCAAGCCAGGAAGGGTTTGATCTGCAAAACTAAGATCTGACCAGTTAACAATCCATTTTTGATCTTAGCTTCACCCTCCAACTTGAAGCAGGACTATTTTATTAAAGTTCCTGGTTTCCTGCAGATGCAATGCTGCAATGATTGCTATGTTGCTGTGGCTGTAATCTTTGCTGAGGACTGTAACACAGCTGCCTCAGGGCACAAAGGGTCTGGTTGCACTGACTTTTCTTCAGAAGGCAGATCCTTCCTTTATATATCCTACCCCCCGGTGAAGGACACTGAGGGCACTCTAAAATCTAATAGTCACCCAATTGGAATAAACGGACCTACAGCACACTGCGATGTGCATGTGCATGATGGTCCTGCCTGTCTCCTCCCTTGTTAAGCAGGCAGCAAGATCTGTCCTGTCTTTAGTGTTAAGAGTTTTGTAATCTATCTGCATAATCCTGCTACTAGGTGGATTAGAAAGTTATGATAGTATCAAGCTGAGGAGTTGGAACAGCCACCAAATATGCAGCCTTGTGCAATATAAATTTTCTGTTACAACAGAGCAAGTCGTGAGAAATTCCTTGTTATTTTGTGGATGAGGGATGTCAAAGGGATGTTAGCATCTTTGTTATAGTGTGGAGAACCCTAAGCCTCTCTGAGGCTTAAAAAGTGGTCTTGTCCAATTTGCAAAAATACAGAATCTCTTCATGGCCAAATATCCAAATCTCTCTTCTTGTGCTGTGTTTTTGTAGCAGAGCACCTACCTTAGAAATCTTGTGTTGAGAAAGTTTCTACCATGTTAATTCCTAATCTTACGATTGCCCTTGTTACCAGGTAAAGAGCATTAGGATTTGAAAAGCCCATCTAGTCTGTAAATTATGGCAATTTAATTATGCCATTTGAGTAATTAAAGTCCCATGTGATTTGACTCACTGCCCATTCTCGTTTTCTTATTCTCTACTAAACTTTGGGAGATAAAGACAGAATTACCAAGCTACCAAGTTAATGAGTACAGAATAATTTAATTAACCTATCAGCAGAAGTTGATTACTGTGACCCTTTTGGGTTATAGCAGAAGCATCAATATTTCAGTACCCACAAAAATATGTACATGCAAAGGATAATGAGCTTATGACTATGAATGACTGCATGCAGTATTTTTAGGCACATAGCTAAATTGTTTTCAGCATACACTAACAATACTAAGTATGACTGTGACAAATGCACATCATAAAGGTACAATTTTTCAGCAAGTTGTGATTGGAAGTAACTCTATCCCATTGCAAACATTCATTTCATGAATGAAAGGGGGTGGGACTGAGTTCACTCATGCTGTCCCAGCACGCAGCCTTCATGCATTCACCTGCAGATCATAGCAGTCTGTGGCTGTTCAGAGACCCTGCAGATGAATGCCTGAATGCAGCACTGATGTGCAGAGTGGGGGTATGAATGGGTACTCCCAAACACACTCACCAAAAATAAGAAATAGTGCCGTGACAGAGAAGAAATGCCCCAAAATGCCAGCAAGCAAAAGAAGAAACCTCATCGTAACAAAGAACAATTCACCAAATAAGAGAGCCAAAACAATTAAGGAGAAATATGTATATGCACAATGAGAAACATTTACATACATTAAAATCTGCTCATACAGATCAATGAACAGTGAACAGCATTAATGAATCTAATTGGAATAACAGTGTGATAAACACAAATAAAGAAGCTGACGGAATGTGTTTCGGGCACAAACGTCCTCCTTCAGCAGGAGATTTTAACCTATTTTCCATTTAACTATTCTGCTCTCTCCAAGTATAAGTAAGCTCCCCCCTCCTCCCCCTGCCCCCAGCATTCTTAAATGGTGCAAATTAGCATGAATGAGAGCTCCATAGGTGGTTGCGTTCATCTCCATTCATTCTCCTCAATGCTCCTCTTGTCCAAATTTGTTCAAATGGGCCTTGTTTTCTGTTCATCCTGAAATAAATCAAAACCTCATTGGGCAATCCTATAAATAAGGCTAGTGGGAGACAGGGATGTTCTTATATTTTAGGTAACGTGAAGGGAACAAATAGCCTGCTCCTTGCTCTCATGCAAACAAAGCCAAGTCTGTATAATATTTTCAAAAGATGCATTGTTCCCCCAAACAAATAACTCCTTGTTAACATCTATAATTTGAAAATAATTACAAACACAGAGGATGTCCATTGTCTATAGCTCAGATGGCAAAGCAGTTGGGTAAATGGGTTCTACTCCTACTGTTCATCCAAACAGACATGCAAAGGATTACTTTCCTTGGGTCATGGATTTTGACTGTAAGCCCATACAGAATACCATCAGAGGCAGAAAGGATAGGCAAGCCAAGCTAAGCTGCAACTCTGTGTGAAGGCATTTGGTTGAAGCGAGTGAAAGCACATGTGTATGACAGTTTGTATCTACAGTATGTGTAAATCCTGTTACAGTCATGATTTGTCTCAGGCACTTTGCAAATTTCAGCCATGAATGAACCAAAAAACCTGTGCCATGAGGCAGGCACATACCAAAATGCCCTTTCCATTCCAGGACCTTCAAAAATGTATGCAGCTGTTCATACAACTGCAGAACTGTGGAACTTTTTTGCCTGTTATGGACTTGAAAAATCTCACAGTGTAGGGCTCTCATTGCGTTATGAGTGCTGCATGTAGCTTGTTCTACCATGGGGGAAAGATTGTCATCCCATGGGGGTATCTGAGCTGGCCTTGTCACTTTTGAAGAGCATAAAAGTGAAAGGGCATAGCAATTCCAGCTCCAAAGCATGTTTAAAAGATCTGTCATCTGGATATCTGCTCATAACTTTTTACCTTTGTCCTATAGGTTTTTAGCCAACACTACTTTCCATGGGCTCAGTGGCCACATTAAAGTAAAAGGTTCCTCCATCATTAGTTCAGAAAACAAGTTCTTCATCTGGAATCTGCAACACGATCCTGTTGGGAACCCAATGTGGACTCGCTTGGGGAGTTGGCAAGAAGGCAAGGTTATCATGGATTATGGGATCTGGCCAGAGCAGGCCCAGAGACACAAGAATCACAACCACCATCCAACTAGGCTACATCTGAGGGTAGTGACACTCATTGAACATCCCTTTGTATTCACAAGGACTGTGGATGATGAAGGATTGTGTCCTGCAGGACAGCTCTGCTTGGATCCCTTGACCAACGATTCAGCTGTGCTGGATGCTCTTTTTGAAAGTCTCCAAGGAGGCAATGACACAGTACCCACCAAATTTAAGCAGTGTTGCTATGGCTACTGTATAGATCTGTTAGAAAAGTTGGCTGAAGATATGAACTTTGATTTTGACCTGTATATTGTTGGTGATGGGAAATATGGTGCTTTGAAAAATGGCCAGTGGACAGGACTGGTAGGTGATCTTCTGGCTGGGACAGCCCACATGGCTGTGACATCATTCAGCATCAACACAGCCCGTAGCCAGGTGATTGATTTCACCAGTCCCTTTTTTTCAACCAGCTTGGGAATCCTGGTGAGGACCAAAGACACAGCAGCTCCTATTGGAGCATTTATGTGGCCACTCCACTGGACCATGTGGCTGGGCATCTTTGTAGCTCTACACATCACTGCAATCTTCCTGACTCTGTATGAATGGAAAAGCCCCTTTGGAATGACCCCAAAGGGTAGGAACAGGGATAAGGTTTTCTCCTTTTCCTCTGCTTTGAATGTCTGCTATGCCATCTTATTTGGTAGAACAGCTGCCATCAAACCTCCAAAATGCTGGACTGGAAGGTTCCTAATGAATCTCTGGGCCATTTTTTGTTTATTTTGTCTCTCCACATACACTGCTAACCTGGCCGCTGTTATGGTGGGAGAGAAAATCTATGAAGAATTGTCTGGAATACATGACCCCAAGGTAAGTAAGGACCTTTTATTTACATATTGAGGTCATAATGTCATTATGTGTCATTGCTGTACTGCAACACAAAAGTGGCAACTGAACTTGGTCTAGTAATATTTAGCTGTATCCTGCCTGTTGAGACCCGGTTTAGGGTACTGGTGAAGGCATCAGGCTAGAAACTGGAAGACTGTGAGTTCTAATCCCACCTTAGGCACAAAGCCAGCTGGATGACTTTGGGCCAGTCATTCTCTCTCAGCCCTAGGAAGAAGGCAATGACAAACCACTTTCAAAAAAACGTTGCCAAGAAAACTCCACGTAGTCACCAGGAATCAAGACTGACTTGAAGGCACACACACACACATGAAATCCCATCTGTTGGGATGGGGAAGGTACCAGAGAGATTGAGGTGGTGGCAGAATATACACAAGCAATTGCAGCAGCTACCAAAATTGACTCTTGCTGTGATGGCAAAGAGGAAGTAGTACAGAGTATGTAGTTGCAACTTTATAATTGTTCAAGAAGGATAATGATGTCATTAGTGATGCTCTTCATAGGGGCCACCATGACTGGGGGGAGGGCAGGAGTAACCAGTTGTTAGTTAATATTTTACACTGAGAAATTCACACAGAATATTACTGAAGCACTTTTAAACAAAATGATTTGGCTTCATGTATAAACAAGGAGGCATTGCATGACTGAGGCAAAAGATCCAGTCAGTGTAAGTTGTGATCACCTGGCAAAGCATTTCATAGGTAAAATCACTCTCATTCCCTGCAAGTTGGAAGCTGGATGGATAGAATCTATTGAAATGATAGGGATGATGTCTAATAGTGATAAGCTTTTGAGCCTGTGGATTCTGAGGAAGTGGACAAAATCATCTGTGATCTTAACTCCATCACTTCTGGATTGGTTCTGTGCCCCTCCTGACTAATTGGAACACCCTTCCCCATGAGATCCGGCAGGACCCTACCCTCCAAGCATTCAGAAAAGCTTTAAAGACCTGGGTTTTTTTTCCTGTAAGCATTGGGGTAGTATGAGGCTGGAGCCCAGAAAAGTTTCTTGTGGATGTGTGGGGATGTGTTGTGGTTGAGGGCATCTGGAATTTTTATGTTGGTCTTGTATATTTTCTACTGATTTTTTTTTAATTGTTTGTGAGCTGCCCAGGGATATATTGCATAAGACAGGTGGCTATATAATTTTTTAAAAAATAAATAGAAATGAATGGAAGGAAGGAAGGAAGGAAGGAAGGAAGGAAGGAAGGAAGGAAGGAAGGAAGGAAGGAAGGGAGGGAGGAAGGAAGGAAGGGAGGGAGGGAGAGAGATAGAGAGAGATGCTGATCTCCCTCAGTTTCCTTTTCCATGGAAATCTGGATGTTGGCATATGAGGATTTCTTTTGTTTTTTGATGAGAAACCCCATT